CTTGTATCCCCATTCCTTCCCCTCACAATAGCTTCTCCCAGGTTCTTCACTCCTCAGTCTTCCCACCACTCGGCTATCCCTCAGAGTGCCAGTGTCCCTGTTCCTCCCCTCTTTCCCTTAAATAGATGTGTCAATCCAGGTTGTGCTGCCCACCTCCCCTGTCTGTCATTGTATCCGACCCCATTTGGTTCTGGAAGATTCCCTGTCTGTCACCCATGTTCTCATAGTTGGCTGGTCTCCGAGGCTTCTCCCCTCCCCTGTCTTTTCCTCATTTGTTGTAACCCATGATGTGATTCTCCTGTAATCTGTCTCCATTGGTATCCCATGTTGCCACCCCTTCACACCCACACCCTTTATAAACTGTAGCCGGATCCCATTTTCCTTGGCACTTGTCCCTGGAATGAAGTCTCTGTGGGCTTCACACAAGTGTCTTCTCCTTTATCCCTTCACCTTGGCCCCTCGTAGCACCTCAGCACTGCTGCACACACCGCCCCTGGTAATCTCAGTGCAGACCCAGGGGCAGCCACCCTCCTAACCCTCACCGGCCACACCGGGGAATTGCTAGCTGGCACCTTGACACCCAGTGGCTGCACAGAAGCTGTTACACATCTGGGCACTTTTTCTCTCCCAGAACATCTGGGTGAGCGCCCTTAAACATGCTTGCAGGCTAGGGAGTACCACAGGGATCACTGAGCCCAGTAGCCACACCATGTTCCCCTGAGGCAGTAAAAGCTCAGTCCCCTTCCAGAGGAGCATGATCTGTGGGAGCATAAAGAGGACACATGGCCCTCCCATCACTTGCCCAGCCCTGCCAGCTCACAGCACCAGAATTCACTCTCACTGCTCTGGGCTTTGCTGATTTGGAGCTACTCTCCAGCTGCTGAGACACTTCTCCAGCTGCTGAGACACTTCTCCAGCTGAGGAACAACCTCCTGCTGCCACTGGGCATCCTGCAAAACCTGCCCTTTGACAACAAAACCTAATTTTTTCCTCCAGCCTAAGGAAGGAGTCTCAAGCCAACCCTGAGTGCTTTGTGATGGGCCAGGGGAGCCCTCACCCTGCAGGAGGAGCATCCTGCCTAAGCCCCTTTGCCATCCCGTCACACCAGGGAGAAAACCAAAGAGGAAACCAAGCCAAGGGCCAGGCTCCCTGTTCCCCAGCCAGGGCTGGGTTAGAGTGGCTGAACAGGAACAACTTCCCCAGGAAAGAGGGAGCCAGGACTGGCCATAACAGAAATAGGACAATGAAGAAGTCTGACCTTCTGGAAAATGGTGCTATGTTTAGACTATTCCTGACTAGTCACTTGAAGCTATGGACAGTTTGTTATTTTCAGTTCTCAGCTATTCATGTTTAAAAAGTGAAAGGAACTTTGTAAAAAACTGGGCATTTTTTAAAAATTGCTTGCAGAGTAAGGAATTACTGGCCATGGGATTGTCCTTGCATGGGCAGCTTCCTAAGGCGGTTGATAACTGATCCTGTTAAAAGACTGTGTTCTATTGTTTTTAAAACCATGTCTATTTGTTCAGATTTTAAAAGCTGAAAAACTGTTTGTACTGGAAAGGAAAAAAAATAAAGTATTTCTTGCTGAGGTTTCCAGGATCAAAATTACTTGTGTGGCTTCCAGAAGTGGTAGACAAGGAGATGAGTTACACTCACACACAGGGGTCAGGGAAGGAGAAGGTAGATGGCAGACTAGAGGAAGGAGCCCAGCAGTGCTTCTGCCTTTGTTTTACTTTATAACCTCCCATGAAGAAAGAGTTTGGGATCCTCAGGCTGGAAAAGAGAGGGCCATGGGGGGCCTCACTGCAACCATGCAGGACTTGAAGGGTCCCATAGGAAAGACAGGGACAGTATTCAACAGGGTCTGTGGTGGGAGGAGAAGGGGGGATGGCTTTCAGCTGCAGGAGGTCAATTTAGGTTGTATCTAAGAAAACTGGCATTTTACTAAGGGTGGTGAAGCATAGGCCCAGGCTGTGCACAGAGGCTGTGGATGCCCCAGCCCAGGGAATGTCCAAGGCCAGGCTGGATGAGGCGCTGAGCAACCTGGTCTGGAGAGAGGTTGCTTGGGTTGGAACAAGATGAACTTTAGGGTCTTTAGGGTCCTTCCTGAGCAAAATCATGATAGGATTCCCTTTTTCAACAGCCACCATTGCCCAAATCTGAGTGGTCCTGGAGCTCCTGTGAGTCATGATGGAACATAGCAAGTCTCTAAGACAAGCAAATGATTGGCCCGGTAACCACCCCACCCTGATCAAAGTACAACATGCATGAAGGGAAAAGTGCCATTGGTGACACTTGGCTGAGTCCAGATATCTTCCTGCTGCCTGGATTCTTGCCATCCATCCCTGCAGGATGCCCACTTTTGTCCCAATGAAGGTACAGTGCCATTCCATGGAGGTGGAAACCTCCAAACTGCCTGGGTGGGCTGGAGCTCTGTGGGGTTGGTGTGGGACAGGGACCCCACTGTGAGGTTTTTCTCCCTGTGCAGGCTGTCACAGACACTGAGGAGGAGATGGAAATCGATGTGAAGTTTGATAGG